ATTACGTGGAGGTGGCCATGCCGGCCGAATACCAGGGGCTGCTCTGCGGCCTGTGTGGTGAGAGATGGGAGCACAGGGGTGAAGTCCAGCAGGTTCTGACAGGTTCTGAAGATCCGGTAGCGGGACCGGCAAATGCCACCTCTGGCTGGCCCCAGAGTGGGGAGGGAATGGGGGTTTCCAGTATCCTTCTCCTAAGCCGCACCCACCAAGCTACGCCCACAGAAACCAGGAGTGAAAAAAAATGAATTTCCCCACTGCATGGGAGGGACCTTCTATGGACAAGAGTGGGCAACTCTTGAAGGATGATAAGGGTTGGAATCAGCAGGAGCAAAGATCGGGGGTCAGAATAACAGAGGTAGAGTTGGAAGGGACCTTGGAGGTCTTCTAGACCAACCCCCTGCTCAAGCAGGAGACTCTGTACCATTCCAGCCAAGTGGCCGTCCAGTCTCTTCTTCAAAACCTCCAGTGATGGAGAACCCACGACTTCTGGAGGGAAGTCATTTCACTTGGAATTAATTGTCCTCCCTGTTAGGAGATTCCTCCTCTCTCCTGGATGAGCTTCGGTTTCTGGCCCTGCAGCTCTTTGGTGCCCGGGCGAGGGTGGGAGCCTCCCTTTCAAACAGAAGGCTTAAGCGTTGATCAGGTAAAGAAATGTGGCCCCAGAAATAAGCGTTTCCTCTTTCCCTCCCTCAAAAGGTAATTTCAATGGGAATCCGGGCGATGACAACCTCAAGCCGGATGGAGAACCTGCGGGAGACTCAACTCAACTCGGAAACAGTTGGCTTGTCCCAGACAACAGTAGCATGTATGTTCTGCTGGCTTAGACTGAGCTGAGTCTCAGGCTCCCAAAATCAAGAAAAGCATATTGCGGTTCTTCCAAGGAAATGTCTTGTTTGTTCCTCGCCTAAAGACAGATTCTTGCCAAAGTAAAGCCAGCAAACCACCCTTCTAAAGCAAAAGCTCTGGGAATGGTTAGGGAAGAGCCATCTTCACCCTCTTTCTCCCACACAAACTCTGGGAATTGAGCTGTCTTTGTTCCTCCCCTCCCTCCCTCCCTCCTCCTGGGAATCCAGACTACATTCCATCTCACAGAGGCACATTTAGTGGAGGGGACTGCCCAAAGAACTCCGGGGATGGGAGTCTCTTAGCGCTACAAGTACCTTCCTCTTAGGTGGAGCTCCTAATATTCAAAGGCTTCCAAGGGGTCCCTGGGGCTGTCTGAGCCTGGTTGCACTGACGGTGCTGCAGTGGTTAAAGGGCAGCAATGCAGGCAAACTCTGCCCACTGCCAGGAGTTTGATCCTGACCGGCTCAAGGTTGCCTCAGCCTTCCTGCTTTCCAAGGTGGCTCAAATGAAGGCCCACCTCAAGGCTGAGCCTTGTAAACCGCTTAGGGACGGCTGTAAAGCCCTGTGAAGCAGCATATAAGTCTAAGTGTCGTTGCTATGGTACACAGAGCCTGCACTGATGATGTTCATCAGTTCCCTACTTTGGGCAATGAAATATCTGCAAGAAAATAATTCAGCTCAGAGAGCACCAAGGACCCCTCATTTCAACTCCAAGCTATGAATATTCTCCTTTATTATTTACTGCCTTACTCACTCACTCCCTAACCCTGGCCCTCATAGTTGTTGGGCTAGGCGAAGGGATTTCCAGATGAAGGACCCTCCAGGGGTTGAAAGGGGCTTCCCATCATGCCTCTTCATCTTTCGTGGGAGGGGGCCTACTCAGCGTCCCTCCCCCCCCATAAGGAGGAGACCCTAATGGGACTGTCCTGAGCCCCCTCTCCCCTCTGGCCTTTGGCAGATGTTCCAGCCCAGCAGAATCATGTGACCCAAAGCTGGAAGAGGAAATTCAGAGGAATTCTGCTTGCCGCCTGATCGCAGATCCAACAGGTAAAGCTCCCTGGTGGGGCGGCAGAATGGCTCCCCAGTGGAACTGCTGCCTCTCTCGTTCTGAGCTCACACTCGCTGCCCTCAGAAGTGCCAGCCGGGCGTGTTCAGATGGAGGGCGGAGAGGTGTTTCATTTGCAAGGCAGCACACTGGACCGGCCCCTTGAGCAGGGCTAATGCTTGGGGGCAGAAGCTTTGCAATGGGGCCCAGGCTGAGACAAAGGCACAGGTGAGGAGGGGCTTTGGCTGGGGAGCCCCGCCCCATCCTCACGCTCTCTCCCCTGGGCAAGGGGTCCTGCCTTTGTCTGTTCAGCAAAAGGGATGCCCCCCCCACCCCTGGGAGGGCCTGGGGCGGCCATGCTGACTGCTTCCCCTTCTGCCCAGGGCCCTTCGGGCAGTGCCATGCTCTGGTCGACCCCGCCCGTTTCCTGGAGAACTGCATTTATGACGTCTGCCTCACTCAAGGACAACAGACCTCCGTGTGCCACGGGCTGCAAGCCTACGCGGCCTCCTGCGCCAACGCTGGGCTGTGCGTGGAATGGCGGAACTCCACCCTCTGTCGTAAGTGCTGCGCTTGGGGACGGAGGGAGGGGAAGCTGGGCAGGGAGGCGTCCGAGGAGACCTGGGACTGGCTCAGGAGAACCCCAGGACTAGATTTGGACAGCCAGGGGGCTGCGAGGGAGGGGGCCCAAAGAGCAACTCTCCTTCCTTCCTTCTCTTCCTTTCTCTTCCTTTCTCTTCCTTTCTTTCCTTTATTTCTCTCCCTCTCTTCCACTCTTCTTTCATGACTTTTCCTTCCTTCCTTCTTTCCTCCTTCCTTTTATGTCCTCTCCTTGCTTCTTTTCTTCTTCCTTCCTTCCCTTCCATCCATCCTGCGGATGGATAATTTATTCATTTACGTCTTGTACACAATGGACAAGACAGAAGCATGGGGAACAAGCAGGAGTTTTGAGTGTAGAAGACCCCCCTGGTTGTAGGGTTCTGCCCCCACCCCCACCCCGAGAGAGGAACTTGATATTGTCCTGTAGCCGGGGGGGGGGGGGTTTCAAAAATTTTTAGAACCTCTTCTGTAGGTGTGGCCTGCTTTGTGGGAGTGGCTTTGTTGCCATGTGGGCGGGGGGGGGGGGGCTCCTGAAGTGAGACTCTGGACCCTCACAGCCTCCAGGGCCAGAGGCAGGACTTCCACGCCATGCCACCTGCCCTCACACCCGGGACCTCTATCCCTGGGTGTCAGCAATGTGTGGATAACAGCCCTCTCCCAACTGGGGGCCATCTCCCCCCAATGGCTTCATGTGAGCTGCGAAAGAGAAGGGGCTGAGTCTTGGGGCACCCCGATGGCCCAACCTCCCCCCTCTTCCCCCTCCGACTGGGTGAAGCTGCTCTCAGTTTCCCTTTGGCTGTTCGTCCTCCTCTTTATCTTTTCCTCATCCTCCTCTTCCTCTTCTTCTTTTTCCCACTCACTGCATCCTTCTCCTCCTCCCTTCTCCTCCTCCTCCTTTCTCCTCTCCTGGGCAACAGTCCTGCTCAGCACCCTCCTCAATCATGCCCCCGCCCCCCAACTAGAGCCGAGGGGGGCCTGTGCGAAAGGCTGTGCTGGTGTGAGAGAGAGAGACCCCTCCCGTGACTGAGGCCTCTTCCCTTCCAGCCGTCTCCTGCCCCGTCAACAGCCACTACAGCAGCTGCGGGACTTCCTGCCCTTCCAGCTGTGTGAAGCCCCCAGGGCTCCCCCCGTGCAGCCCCCTCCCCACGGACGGCTGCTTCTGCAACGAAGGCTTCGTCCTGAGTGGAGACACCTGTGTCCCCGAGGCCGACTGCGGCTGTGTGGATGGCCAGGGAAACTACTACCAGGTGGGTTTTCCTCCTCTGGGGCGGGAGGCAGGGAGGACCCGGAGTGGCCCGGCTTCCTTGGCTGCAGACCTTCACAGCAAAGGGACCATACTCCATACCAGGCGAAGCATTAGGACCGATTTGTAAATCCTTAGTAAGGCCTCACCTGGAATACAGAATCCAGTTTTGGAATCCTGCATCCGGGTCACAAAACTACAAAAAAGCGGTGGAGACTTTGGAAAAAGGGAAGAGAAGAGCAGCTAAGATGGAGACTAAAACACGGGAAGAACAGGTGCAGGATTTGAATCTGGCCAGTCTAGGGAAAAGGAGAGGGGGGGGACACAGCAGCATCCCAGTATTTGAGGGGCTGTCACAATGACAATGAGTGGGTATATCAGTGTTTCTCAACCTTGGCAACTTGAAGATGTCTGGACTTCAAGTTGCTAAGGTTGAGAAACACTGATATACCCACTCATTGTCATTGTGACAGCCCCT